TATATATATATATATATATATATATATATATTTCTAGATGATATTGCGGCCTCGTCAACAGTAGAAAGCCAATTGTTGACTGACCACAATGATTCGACTTGCTACGATTCCAACAACATCACCGTTCAACTTTCGGTATTGCCTCTATTTACCTGGGCAAGAATAAAGTTGGACAAAAAAGGTAAACAATTTTGCAGTTGTGCCCTAAGACTTTTGAAAAGCAATGCCACTGAAAAAAAAAAATGTTTAAACTAAGATGAAGTTATTAATACTCTTGCAATTATAATCATTACAATGTACATTCTAATTCATTTTATGAAAAGAATATCTTATTTATGTTAAATAAATGCCAACTATAATACTTGCTTATAGATTTCAATTGACAAGATCGTGATAGCGAGAGATTGTGTCATGTATGTTATACATTTGTCGCAGTCCCGATTTGTAATGGAGTGGGAAGACTGGCGTTTTTTCCCCGCTGATATATATATAATAGTCTGAACTAGGCCCTATTTTCAGATTCTTATTTTTCGAAGCATATTGAGACACACACCATAAGAAATTTTAACTACTGAATAATTTAAATATCCTAGAATAGCGAAAGGAGCATGCTTTAAATCAACAAGTAGATAACTAAACTGAGTATCACTGCAATCATTTCGTATAGCAAGCAGAAAAGTTATGAATCGTTGTATAATAATTTATTGCGCAATGTTTTTTTTTTTTTTTTTTTTTTTTTTAATTTTAAAATCTACATTTAGTGGAACCCTCGTCCTTGCCCTTGTCATTTTTCAAAATTGGGGACGCAGCAAACAAAAGCACGACCTGTTTAAACCAGCGAGCCGGTGAAATAAAAAAGTTATGAATCGTTGTATAATAATTTATTGCGCAATGTTTTTTTTTTTTTTTTTTTTTTTTTTAATCTTAAAATCTACATTTTGTGGAACCCTCGTCCTTGACCTTGTCATTTATCAAAATTGGGGACGCAGCAAACAAAAGCACGACCTGTTTAAACCAGCGAGCCGTTGAAATAGTCGACAACACCTGGGATATCTTCTGTTCTAATCTACTGCACATCAAAAAAATATATATATCTATTAATTTAGATGTGTCGATCTGTTCTATTTATATCAATGCTGGTAAATTTTAGAAATTATTTTGAATTGTTTATATATATATATAGTTTTTATATAGTTAATTTAACTAGTTAGAACTGAAATGAATTATTTGTGTTCGTATTTGTTTCAAGTTTGTATGCTATCGAAGTTGTAAAATTAATAGATTTAATTTTAATTATATGTATATTCTATGCTAAATACTTTTATATTCTGAAATATATCAATTTCCAGGACGCGAGTTTGGACAGAAGTCATCTATACAAGTACGCGACCTGCCTGTGAACCGCGTCACGTTGATGAACCTCGTTAAATTATTAAATGATGGAGTGTCTAACCACGACATGTGTCTCATTTTAAAGAAAGATTCTTATAAATCTATATTGATTACTTTGAGACTTGAGCGCCCAATAACACTATTAATATTTCATCCTCGTAAGTAGAAATAATCAACCGTTCACTTTGTATGCCCGTTCGTATATTGTTTACAACTTTCATAAATTGATGCTTGGGTTACAGTAGATTAAATACACATTACCTCCCTTCCCTAAAGATGTGTCAATCATCACGTCAAAAATTTTTACAGGGTTAAGAGTTGCTAACATTTCAGATAACTTATTGCGACACCCTTACAACAATAGCGTAGATAGGGTTCGGTAGAAGTCATTTGCTGCCACCCATAGGTTTAAACAAAAAGTAAATATTAATTATTTGTTTTGAAAATGTCTATTTTATTCAACGAAAAAACAAAACACACACAAAAAGAACTCACAAAGTCGAAATCGCTGCAACTCCATTCCTTACAGTGCAGCCCATCATAAGACTGATCTAATCGTCGATCGATTTCGGACACTTATACTCTAACTAACACTGAACTATCTTGTTGCAGTGAACACTCGCAACAGTGTTATAGGTACTAGCAGAATGTACGTGTAGCTGTCACCTTAAGACATTTCATTAAAACATTTAACTTGTTTCCTTAACAGACAAAAACCAAACTGAAACCTTTGTTGTCCACATGACGGGACGTGATTCTCAAAACAATGTTATGTTTAATAGTGGCACCTCAAGCAGAAAAATGATACATTTTACATCACCATCAAAACCACATATTGCGACGGTACAGCTGGAGATCATAGAAGGTCAAATCGAACTTTGTGAGATTCAAATATTTGGGGGTAATATTTTTAAAATTCTTATTTTTTACCTTTTACAAGAAATGCATTCAAAGGTTTTTGGCGATTAATTAAGTAAACTTTTCGGCTATTATTAATATATCAAAAATGTAGATGAGTTTTGTTTTACTTATGACTAAAAATAATGCAATTTCATTTCGTAAAATTACTTGGATAGTCACACATGAGTGTGGCAGATTTGGCTTAAGAAGGAAGAAGCACAATTAAAATGTTAATGTTTTTTTTGTTTTTTTTTAAAGTTTTTTCATACTTCTGGGTGATTCCTTGTAATTATAATTTTCTGCAAAAAAACTATATGTTTATAAATTAAATTTAAAATCGAGTGCTGATATTATAATAATATTTACAAGAATATTGTGTGTATATGAATGTGTGATTTACTTCAAGTGAGTGCGCATATCATTGTAATTTTTACTGGATGATCACTCTTGTCTCCTAGCTTTAGCCGGTTCATCTCTAAAATAGTTTGTTTTGATGAAGGACATATGGTGATGTCATTTTTTGTTTAAAGTCTCAATTTTCTTAATATAATTTTAAGGAAGATATCACAGACAATTAAGGAAGGCCTAGAAAGCTGTTGTCATTATAAATTCATTTTTAATTATGTCCTACATCGTATCCGGAAATTTGATGGAAAGAAATTTCGTCGACGGTAAATTGATCGACGGTAATTTGATCGAACGGAAATATGGTCGAATCTTTTTTTCCGTTTTTAAGTTTAAATTTTGCTTCAAATGTCTTTTTGAAAGCATTATTTTGTTTTACTATATAGTATAGTGCGTTCAAAAAGATACTTGACGAAAATTTTAACGTGTGAACTGAAAAAAAGATTCGACCAAATTTCCGGTCGATCAAATTACCGTCGATCAATTTACCGTCGACCAAATTTCTTTCGATCAAATTTCCGGTAACCGTCCTACATATGTTAAACAATACATTTATACTATGTAAAACATTTTGAGAAGTAAAATTGTCTCTGACACAGCCAAATAAAATCTCAATTACAAATTGTGTTTGCATGCTGGGAAAATGCCTTCCTTTTATACTCGACAGGATAACCTTAATAAAAAAGCAATATTTAAACAACAAAAAAAGGTATAAAACAACTTTAAAAAAAAAAAAAAGAAGCTAAACTTTTCTTCTAGATGGCAAACGTTCCAAATTGAGTCATGGAAAGAAATAACCCTCCTTTTATCTCCACAGATTGTCCATCGCCATCATATGGTTCTGACTGTGCCGCTACTTGCCCGATGTCTTGTCTTGGTCAGAACTGCACACAAGATAGAACGTGTCATAGATGCCATGAAGGGAGGGAAGGGAAATCTTGTTCGGAAGGTAAAATAATAGGACACGCTAGTCCAGGTGTCCGGAACCTTTTTGTCTGAGAGAGCCATGGGCACCACATATTTTGAAAAGAAATTCTGTGAGAGCCATACCTTATGTTTAAAACTAAAAACTCAAGAGAATGTAAGCATTTTGTGTAATTTCATCACTAAAAATGCAATAATTATGTCTCTGAATTCTTTGTAATAATATCATTATGCTGTTGATAATCAATAATTAGTATTTCTTACAATTAATGCGACTTTTTTTGTATAACCAAACATTTGTCTGCGAGTCAGATGAAGCCATCAATAGAGCCACATCTGGCACGCGAGCAATAGGTTCCCGACCGCTCCGCTAGTCTCTTATCTTTATTTCCGGTACATAAATTTTAATAGGATCTTCCATAAACATAATCAAAGATAAGTTTGATTTGTGCTTATATTTTAATAAACGGCAAGCAAAGGAAAAGGTGATATTTGTTTGTAATGGAAAGAAAGATAGATAGATAGATAGATAGATAGATAGATAGATAGATAGATAGATAGATAGATAGATAGATAGATAGATAGATAGATAGATAGATAGATAGATAGATAGATAGATAGATAGATAGATAG